GAACATACAAACAATTTGTCAAACAAACTATTACACCATCATTTAAAGTTAGATAAGCAGTCCCTATAGCTTTGGCAGCAACCCTTGCCCCATTGCCCATCCTTAGGATTGTTTCATCATTTTCTAGCTTTTTACTTCTTGACATAATTTGCAAATCATTGCAAATATGTGACCCACAACCGGTATCCAATACCCAAGAAGAATCTTTAACTGATAAGTTAACCTCAACAAAATAAATACCTGAACTTTTAAGGCTAGCAAGATACTCCTTGAAGTTCCTCTTCCAGTGCCCAGTTTTACCACAATGATAACATTTATTGGGTTCAATTAATTTGTTTTGTTCAAGGATACTTGCAATTGGATTTTTAGCCATTTTAGTAGACTGATCTACAAAACAACACACGAAGCAGAAAATAATTAGACTATGGAATTCATATTCATTTAATATTAGGTCTTTAAATATTAAATGTCTCCCACTAATCTAATTAAAACCCCATTTTAATTATGAAAATCTAATTTTCATAGTGGGCTTGATGTCCAATAAAAATATTCCATATCCCAAGAATATGAGTACGCATGGAACATTTATACTGGTAGTCAACTTTTTGACAATTGTATCAATATACAACCTTCAATATATTTTGCCTCACCTTTCCTTATATACCTCAAGAATATGACCGTATATATTACTCGGTGTCAAATCAAACCCATCAAAACTTTCATGATAACGGCCCACCAGAGTGTCCCACGACTCATGGTCAACACAAAGAGGAATCCATCTCACAAGTATCAATATACGTAGTAGGGATCACAGCTTTCGACACAAAACCACCCCACGACTCATGGTCAGTGATAGAGCATCGTAGCATCTCATGTCGTCTACTTTTTGATGGAAGGCCTGGATTAATAAGTCCCAGCTTATTTTTATCCATTATTGATATGATATGAATTAATCTTATTAATTCTTTAGGGTTCCGTGATCTCATCGTCTACCATCTTTACGTTTATTTACCATTTCATCCATCGCATGAATCGAAAGCATAAATAAACCTAACATACATCTAATGCATGCATACGGTGGGATGATCATGTCCTTGCCTATACGACCCATTCGAGCCAAAATGGGTCTATGCCTATGTACGTGATAAAACAAATAAATAGAACTACTTCTATTACAATTTATTTTATCTACCCGTACAAGCACAGGCCTTCGAGATTTACAACTTGTAAAATTACCCACACAAGTGGGCCTTTCGCATCGAACGGTCTCCACCTTTGATCTAATCTTTCTAACGATACAAAAATTTAAAATTTTACAAATCAAATCTCAAGAGACTCGTAGGTCTCGATAAATTATATTCATTCAATCTTATTGAATAATATACAACATTCAACCATATTGAATAAAAATGCAAACATTCAATCATATTGAAATAAAATGCATCCATTCATTCATTATGTGTAAAAGGCTCATGATCATCCCTAAATTAAACCATTCATCACATGAATAAATTTAATTTTTTTTTTTATTTTATTTTGATCAAGTCGCGACTCGCGACTTTCGCGAGTGCGACTCGCGACTCGCGACTTTCATGTCGCGACTCGCGACCTCGTCTCGCGACTCGCGAGTACAATAAAGGCTGATCAGTCTCTTCTCCGCAAAAACTCGCGACTCGCGACAATACCCGCGATTCGACTCGCGACTCGCGACTCAACTCGCGACTCGCGACTCGTCTCGCGAGAAACTGGAGCTGAAAAAATAAATTTTGCGACTTGTAAAATACATGTCGCGACTTGATGTCGCGACTCGCAACTCTATGTCGCGACTCGCGACTTAAAATCGCGACTTATTTTTTTTTAATATATTTTATAATTAATATGTTTATCACATAAACATTTAATTATCTTGTTTATCTCATAAACATTAACAAATCAAAATCTATTTTTAAAGATGATAACCGTGGCTCTGATACCACTGTTGGGTTCGCCTGTACCGTACGAGCTATATGCAGCGGAATTTAAAAATTTTTAAAACATGTATTTAACAATTAAATACATATCTCGTACATACATATGGCGAATTAACAGATCGTCATCTTTAAAAACATGTAATAATACAAATTGTGATTTGTTTGATAGTAAATACAATATTTTCCGTTAATCTTGAACTCCTTCAAAATCGTAGATGGATTGAGAAAATCGGTTTCCGGATTTGTAACATCACTTCACTTCTCTTGCTTGTGGTTACTCGCTTTAGGAATCCACGTGTCTTCCCTCTAAACGTATCCACCTTTTGAAATCGGGTTCCGACGATAGCTTCTTCGCTAGTAGAAACTTCTCGGTTTT